TGATCGCTCCTTCTTTTTAAATGACCTAATATCAATTAAAATTCCTTTCCCAACTTCCGTATCCTCTTTGCTCGCTACGAATAATCCATCTGTATATAAATCTCTAGCAAAATTTATTATTTTCAACAATATTAAACTGTAATATAATTTATTTCTATCATCCCTTTACCTTATATTATAATAATATCCTTCATCTGATCCTTATACCCTTCTAATCCTTATTATTCCAAATTCCCGAAATCCTATAACTTTTTTCCTGACGTTTCCCTAACTTTGCTTACAAATAAATTGTCAATGGCTAAATGCACAAACCGTGCGAAGCCAAAAAAAAAAAAAAAATAAACATTAAACATAGTAATGTACAAAATTTTGATACTAGAAACAAAGGTAAACTTGTTTTATCATGCAGGTTAAAGAAGGTTCTAGCAACATTTATGGGGCAAGGTATACAATACTATAAATTACTATTCCAGAAATTTAAAATTTACCATTCCATAAATTAAGGACTCATTTTAAAAATTGTCTACTTAGTAAAGGATACTGTTAATGAATATTTAAACGACATAACTCCTTGGTGTTAAATATGGCTTATTTTTCACAACTGTGCAGTGGTTGAGTGCAGTACCATACAGTATATCATTTATAATTTTACGTTACATTTATTTGACATGAATCGATTGAAGAGTAAATATATATATAATTTTTTATATTTTCTAATATTGTTATGGAACAATATCTGTAACAGGGAGAAAAAAGCAGCCCTTGCAGAGTGTCTTGTCGGTTCTTCTATAGACTTGCGAACCGATTTCGACTACCCAATGAGGGTTCTCGGTGCCGGGCTTTATCAGGTAGTACAGCTACGCTTTGACATAGTATTACATAAGGTGCATTTACCCTGTCTTAAAAAAGAAATGGGCGATGGATCTTACAAATATGACAGGGTTGTCAAAAATTATAAAATACCTGTGACGAGTCAAATATTTCACCTACGGAAAGCTACATGAAAGAGCTAAAATAAGCTACAATTTACGCGGGCTTTTTAACAGAACTACCTATTCTTTCGCGACTTTTCGAAAAGCGGCCACGAATTCGAAGTCGAGCGCGGCATTGTTAAAGCATCAGAGGTTCAATCGAATAAAACCTACTTCTTATTTTATGCTAGCGCTAAGAATCTGTTTTTATTTCAAACTTTTATTTAGTTTCACTTAGTTTCACCTGTCCCGGTGTTTGTCTTTCTGTAATTAAATCTTGCAAGCTAAAATTTACCTACTTCCCGGCCACCGTTTGAGTTGTAATCTGAAATATACGTTTAGTTCTGATGAAAATGCAATTACATTATTATTATTAATAAAAAACGGCCGCTGTAACAAAATGGCTGCACAACTTTAATATAACCCAATACGGATATCAAAGGTGGTATACTTACATAGTGGTTGTTACTGGTGCGTGTTTGATATGTTTAAATAGCTTAGTATTTTAAGGTTTTTAATTGTAAAGTCAAAATAATACTTAAAGTGGATCTTTTTTTTTAAATTGTTTATGTTCAACGCGATTGTACACAGAAAGTGCATCCCGGACAAACCTTCGTGGTTTTTGGCTTGTACTAATATAAATTGTAATGTTAATGGTATTTATAATAAATAGAAAAAAAAGGTTTAACTTGTAGATTACAAGACACCAAATAAAAAAATATATATATTTACTTTTCAATAGAATCGTTGAAGTACTGTTGAGCAATTTCAAGTATAATTTATCAAGATGGAAGGTATTTCCTGTTGGCATATGGCATGTAAGACATTGGGGTTTTACTAAGGTTCGACGGCGGGGAAATAATTATGTTATCCTCGATAGAAGGATAATACGAGTTGTGATTATTATGATAACGAAAACATGAATTTATAAAAAAAAAAACTACATTAAAAAATTATACAGTCAGTCTTTAAGTCTATCTTCATTTTGAGCACTTCATAAATAATCGGTCAAATCATGAAAAGGCGTCTGGTCGGAACGTGATCTGCCCAGACATATTTTGATCAGTCCGCTTTTAAGATTCGACTACGACATACATATTAATTGACAATAATAAATTTTGCTACCATGTTTTCCAATTTAAGCTCTTCTACCATCAACAGGAAATTATTAATACCACAGCTTCATTTTTTTTAATAAACCTATGACAGTAATCTTAACATTCATTCCCTGAACGAATGCAATAATTTATTTTTAATTCCATGTATTCTTGGGAGGAAAACTTCAATTAAAGCTGTCACAAACCAGCTAGCTACTCTGGGATTGTGAAAGTTGTTGGTCGACGAAGGCTTGACGATCGTACTTTATTACGGCTCTAGAATATCTATGGTTGAATTTTTGAAAAATTTAATTCTTGGACTGCTCTCTTTTGTCTAAGTACTTCGTACTCCTAGGCCACGTGATTTCGTCGTCTTTTACTGTAGGGCAATGCCGCTGACACAGAACAAATATCTAAGTAGGTGCACTCGGGACCCGAGCGAGAGATAATAGCCTAAACACGTAGGGCTGTCCCTTATAGGTTATTGAGTCAGAAATGCTTGGTCAATCAATCTCTAAAATATAGACTGCAATGTTTTCATACCTAACTCATGTCATCAATTTAGTGTTTTGTAAAATTAAAACGTGGTTTAAATGAATTAGGTATTTATTCATTTTTTTTCCAAATAATCAGGCTACGAACACATGCAAACCATTTTCGGTGCGTATATATGAATAGCACCTACTATTATACTCTGCCGCTGATGTTAGCGTAAGTATGGAAAGTGATAAGCGCTTCAACAGCAACCTTTTATGACACAGTTCTATCACAAAATATTATAATTGATCTGTGATGAAGATACTGCACTAATAATATTGGACTTTAGGTCTACCTAATGTTACAATGATAAATGCAAGTAATTGAGTTTCTAATGAGATGGGATTATTACTTTAAAAAATAGCAGAATTGAAGGCCTCGGCTATCATTGAATATATACCGGCAAAACTTCAGTGCATCTTGGACTGGAATTTTGGCGGCATTTTTATTGTAGCTGATAATTAATTTACAATAACAATGGTACTCAGAAACAAATGAATCACTAACTAATGATAGACATCTAACAAACAATGTATGAAGCGACACTTGATTGTATGAGATGTGATGTGACATAAATTATGTAATGAATAACAAGTAAGTAGCAAATGAAACAATCAATGCCAGCAAACAAAGCTTGTAACTTGATAACAGCTAATTGACTTGACCTCATATTTTAAGAAATAATTGGTCAATGTATTAATATACTAAGTGATAAAATAAAGAACAATAGTGGCAATTAATTGTCTTATTTTAAAATCTAACATGATCACTTTGAATTTGACAGTTAAAAGATATTCACGAACTTCACACTGTAACTATTTGACATGCGATAACAAATGTGGCAGTGTTGATTTTTTTAAAGATATTGAATGAACGATAGATTTTATTTGACGTTAATTGTCTAAGCAGTGATAGTTACAAAAATCTTTGAAAGCTTTCATTCGTATCAAAAGCGATTGTGACTTTAAAGGAAACACAATTTTATGAATAATAATCACAACCACTATACGTTTGAAAGGGATTGATAATTTTAAATATTTTTTTTAATATTAAAAACAAATAGATTGTCCCATCACCAAATAACACTGAATGGATCAGCAATAGTTATAATATTAACTGGTTTTAAAATATTTTGCTCATGTCATGCCTGGATTCACCAACATTCCTTAAATAGTAAGGGGTCACCTAACCAGATTTAGGGTAAGGGGACCCCTAAATCTGGTTAGGTGACCCCTTACTATGTTATTGCGTTTCACCAACGCTTAGGGCCGCCTACCGTTCTAAAAGGACTTCTAAGTTTAGAGGACCGAATATTCAGTCCATAATGTTATGTGACAGTTTATAAGAGCGTTTAACTGTGAGATAGTGGTCACGCAGAGGTAAAATACTTATTATAGAGCTTAGAGAATGGATCCAGAATTTTTGATGTTGTAGAAAGTTTAGAAATTTCCGATTTATTATCAAAAAATTTATTATTTAGGCGACAGCGTATAATGTGTTAACGACCAGATTATTTCAATAAATACGACAATGTGGACTTTTTTAAACCATATAGATTATCAAAAAAGAGTGTTTTATCTATATTAGAGAAAAAAGGAATGCTCAGAATGCTCCATGCATCAATATGGTCTGTGATATGGTCCAGTGGGCATATTTGTTTTAGTTTACCACATACTTCTTCATGTTATATGATTACATATGTGCATAGCATTAGGTTGATTTAGTATAGTGCGCTGCCAGTATTGTTAGTTTTCATAATTTAATATTTGATTGTTGCATATTTACATTATTGTAGACAGCAGAATTGTAATACAGAGCGCACAATTATAACTGGGCAGTGAAATGCCCTTAAATTTAAGTGTATTTTTATTTCTTGAGTGATGTCTGTTATAAATCCTACAAAATTTTCTGATGTAATTTAAATAATATGCATAAATAATTTTTGTAAAACTGATGAATTCAAATTGTTTGTCACAAGAAGGAAAATATCAGTCACAAAAAAATACGTTACTAAAATAAGTACACACGATTGCCAGGCTACCACAGTATGTACAATTTGCATAAAATGTGCTTTATTATAAATAAGTTATGTTTTAAAATCGAGTGAAGAGGTTAGCCCGAAGTGCTGTTGACTTTATTCATTTGATTTATAAACTCCAGAAAAGAACATAACATCCATAATTCTAATTTGCAATAAAATAAGTACCTATATAGCTAAAGGTGGTCTTTTCATAGACTTAATTTTTTTTGCATAGAGGAAAGGTTAAGAAGTTTCAGAGAAACAATGGCAAAGGAAAAGTTTTTCTATACCACCCCAACACCATACCTATGTATAGAAGCGTTAAAATCGCGTGTATTACATAAATAGAGGTGACGATTCATCATATACACTCACCTGATACCACTATAAAATTCCAGTGAATGCGTAAACAATCCTTTTAACTAGTCTGGCACAAACACTTTCACTATTTTCAATCACTTTATCCACAAATTTAGTAATTTTATTCACTATGAACACTTCGAAATTCTCAGAAATCGTACTATTTGTGTCGATTGCTTATGTTAGATAAAATTCGCAATGTTTTTTTGTACGTTCCACAGTACATTCACATTTATAGATAGCGGCTGCGCAAGCGGCGCGACGGAGCGACGTAGGTAGTGAACAGACCAAAGACCAATCAGATGACTAGTGCAGTGACAAACACAAGCCATCGACAAAATAAAGTGCCATCCATACGGTAGGTAGGTTCGTGCGTGACCTTGGTCGAGGTTTCGAGGCGTGTGTAGAGATGGACGTTTAAACAAAAAGCACTTAATTAAGCATGCTTTTCTAAATAAGTGCAAAAGCGCTTTTTTACTTATAAGAAAAGTATGCTAATGCTTATTATACGTCCAGCCATCTATCAAGATAACTACTACTAGCTTTAATCAATTTTTCTGTTTCGGCATTTTTCTATTAGAGGGCAGCAACTTTACATAAATACACCGTATTATACTATTACGCGTGATATCCCACTAGACTTTTTGCAACAACTTTTTTTGTTGGTTAATCCAAACGCTTTTTTAAACGGAACTTATACTTGAAAAAGCAGTACGCTTTACGTTGTTGAAGTAAGTGCACGTTGTGTTGAATGTTAATGAATTGCGTAAGTTGAATTGTATGCGTAAACAAATTGCTACTTAAGTGATGACTTCTGTTTATTCCTAAATAAACAATGTAAATAAGTTTTGTTATGAGGTGATGGTGTGTATATAAAACATTCTAAATATTATTGAACTGCATTAGTTTTAAGATTGTGCGAATAAAATGTCGAGTATTGTGGTCTTGTATTATACATAAAAACCTTCCTTTTGAATCACCCTATCTATGAAAAAAAAACGCATCAAAATCCGTTGCATAGTTTTGAAGATTAAAGCATACATAGGAATATAAGGACAAAGGAAGCAACTTTGTTTTATACTATGTAGTGATAACACAATGTTGCACGCTTATTATAATGATTTCTAAATGTCAGTTGAAAATAAAAGGGTATAAGCAATAAGCAGTTTTTAAAAACGCTTATTAAAAATCGTACAACGTAACAGCACTTAAAAATTTTAAGCACTTATTTGCACCTCTAGGCGTGTAGGCTAACACTGGCTCCTAACCAAGCGGTTTCTTATTATTATTGTTTTAACAGCACTGGGTTCTTGCCCTTCCGACTAAGGTGTTGCCATAGTGAAGAAAAAAAATCGAAATATTTTATATCTCTATTAACTTCACAATCTATGGAGATATGAAATGGCTTAATTTGATTTATTTTTAATGAAATTTCAACGGGACTATATAAAAGGAAGTTAAATAAAAGATAGCATTGAAATTGTTTTACTTCAAATATTTTCTTCATTAAGAGTTTTATAATTATAAATCAATTTAAAAAATGGAATGCTTATTAAACAATGAAAATTTTACTGAAAAATACTTTTTTACTGACATTACTGACACTAAAATGTCTTTAATCATCACTTCCATTTTAAGAATAATTATGCTTTTAAATGAAATTTTAAATACCGATGATTGATATTTTAAATAATTGCTGGATAGCGAGTAGTAATGAGGGCTGTATAATAAGAAAATAAAAGATATATGTATAATAATAAAATATTAAATCACAAATCACAGCAAATTATTCATAATTGAGTAATACAATAATCAATTATAAATAAGTTCAAATAAAATATGTAAAATTAAGAATGAAATATTCAATAAAATTTGTACAAATATCTATCCATTCATAAAATAAAGACAATCTATCGATAATTTGATTGGATACTAGTAATGATTTGAATACTAACTTGTTTCAAAGAAGGGGCGGCTTCTATGGAGGTATGAATTCATTCCCTATATCGATCTCTATCAATGATCTTCATAAGTAACACCAATGAAAGTTGAAATAGAATAATAAAATTCATCGTTGAAAAATTTATATCTATTTATGTTGCATAAATGTTGCAAATATTGTGATGTTATGTTTAAAATCAATAGTTATTCCTTCGAGATATCCCAAATCTCCTAATAAGGTCATGGCGGAATTGATCGAACACGGTAGGCCAACCATCAAATGGTCGATTGTTGGAGTTCCGACCACCTACCGTGTGGATGGGACTTAACTCACACAGCGCGAACTCGTCTTTTTTATAATTTCATATTTGTATCGTGTTTGTTATATTAGTGTGTATGACGGATGGCCAACACTTTAGCTGATATAATTATAATATTAGAATGGAGATTTTTTGAGGAAAGCCTAATTTAATTAAAATTCTCCTTTTATTTAATAGATCACCGGTAAATACAATACAAGCATTAGCAACATTATTTCAAGTTTATAGTAGCGCCATCTTTAATATGTCTCTTACACTAATAACTAAGAATATTAATGAGGAAGTATTTAAAAAAAAAGAAAGCATTAAAAAGCACATCCACTAGATGGCGACTCTAGCAAAATTTGATTTTTGCAGGAAAATAATGGGTCAAAGATAGTCATTTCCGTGCCTTAACTAACATATTAAAAAACGTAAATTTGCAAAGTTCGAAACTTAGATATCAATACAAATAGAATGTGAATCTTTGATACTGACTTGATCATGAAAATGTCTTTTACATTTCGGGGAGAATTGGTGAACGAACAAAAAAAACCAGATAAGTGCGCGCTAAACTCGCCCACGAAGGGTTCCGTACCAGAAACAAGCAAAAAAACACGTTTGTTGCATGGGAGCCCCTTAAATAATATTTTATTCTGATTTTAAGTGTTTGTTGTAGAAGCAGTAACACAAATACCAGAAGTAGGTACATTAACTATGAAAATTTCAACTGTCTTACTTTCACGGTTCACGAGATACAGCCTGGTGCCAGACAGTCAGCGTCCCGTTATAGCCTTCGGGTATGGAACCTTAAAAATAAACATAGCCGTCGAAAATCCGTCTTTTAGAGCCGACTTCAAAAAAGGTTTTCAGTTTGACCTTTACGTACGCGATTGTCTTGCGTTTGGCAGAACCGTTTTTTATGTATTGTCAGAATTCGGCTTTAGGTGTATTAACCGAAAAAAAAATGGAGGTTCGCACTTTAACACGGTTTTGACGCGGTTTTCAGAAAATATTTTATTGTTACTTTAATTCTCAATATCACTAAAAAACATGAAATAAAAACATAAGAAAGAACCGACTTAAAACTTAAAAAAAGTGAAAAATAATAGTTATCTCAAAAGTGACTTATTCAAGAAAATGCTATTGTAGTCGGGCGCTTATGGTTTAATTAATAACCTACAGAAAATCTTAGACACACTATGTATTTAAAAAAAATAAAATAAAAAAGGTTTTTAAAAACAAGCTTTTATTTTTGCATATTTAGATATGTCGAAAGCCTTTGATCGGGTTAATCATAGCATATTATTGAAAAAGGTTTTTGAATGTGGCTTAAGAGGAAAAGCAGCTGACTGGCTTACCAGCTACTTACGAGATCGCAAACAATGCACAGAGATCACAAGGTTAGAGAACAATATTAAAACAAAAGTGAGATCAGACTACGGTGACTTAAAAAATGGAGTACCACAAGGGAGTGTATTAGGACCTCTACTATTTTTATTATATATAAATGACCTACCTAATGTGACTAAAAACGAATGCTTTCTCTTTGCTGATGATTGTACTCTATTTTTTCAAAATAAAGACATTGACATATTGCAGTCTGACATTAACAATACAATATCTGACATTATTAATTGGATGAATGACAATAATTTACAAATTAATATAAAAAAGACGAAAGCAATACAATTTCATACATATAAAAGTAAAAAAAAATATATTAATTTAGAATATAATAATGATAAAATTGACATAGTGGACTCCACTACCTTTCTTGGAATTGTACTAGACGAAAATTGTAATTGGAAAAATCATATTGATGGCGTTTGTAAAAAAATAAATAAATTTGTATTTGCGCTTGGTAGAATCAAGAGAATCGCATCTTTTGATATAGCACTACAGTCATACCACGGCTATGTTGCAGCAGTTTTGCGCTATGGCTTGATAATATGGGGGAATAGTGTTGACGTAGAAAGAGCATTTAGAGCCCAAAAAAAGTGCATCAGAGCACTGTGTGGAATAAAAAGCTGGGAATCATGTAGGCCTTTATTTAGACAACATAAAATACTAACATTACCATGCATGTATATAACAGAGATGTGTCTCTTTGTAAAACATTACCCTGAATATTTTGTCACACACGAACAAAGAAATGAAAGCGCTCGGGATTCCAGAAAAAATAAATTATGTATACCAAAAATTAATTTAACCCTCTTTAGTGAAAATGTGTACTGTATGGCTATTAAAGTGTATAATAAGCTGCCACAAAATATTAGGAAACTTCCGTATGAAAAAAATATATTTAAAAACTCATTATGCCATTGGCTTGGAGAACAAGTATACTATTCTATTAATGAATACTTGAATGACAAATAACTGCAATAAAAAATTATTATATCTTCTGACATTCTATTATTGTATATTTCATTTTATCTTATAAAAACTGACATTAAACATTATAATATTGACTATTATGTAAATGACCTATTCTGGTGTTCTTTGATTTATTATTGACAAATTTGTGTATATTGATTGTATTGTATATGACATTGTAGAATTTTATATTGTATTTGGATAATATCACGGACATTATAATCAAACTTAAATTATATGATATTTTAAAAATTTAATGACATTAGAAATATAATATTTGCACGCCTACTATATAAGGCAAAATATTGTTGAGCATGAAACCTATGTAACAACTGTACTGACACAATATTTGAGCAAATAAATGTTTTGATTGATAAACATAAACGAATTCTAAACATATTTGGCCTGTGGCTGTTTTCTGTACCAATCAAATAAAAAAATAAATAAAATAAAATAAAAATATAGTAGTTATAATCAACATTTCCTCTGACAGTAGTTGAAAAGCTAGTAGCGCGTAAAAAATATATCTATTTCCTGCCAAATATATTCATTTCCGTTCCTTTTAACAAACATATGAAAAAACTGAAATTTGCAAAGTTTGAAACTTAGATATCAATACAAATACGAAAAATACAGAAAGAATATGAATTGTTTATTGAGTTTTGAAAACTAA